AATGTTGTCAGAGAAAGAGACACTATGAAAATCAACGGCAACATTAACAGCAAAAAGTACTGCTTTAATTGACGTACTACGATTTACTGAAGAATGTCTAACGGGCGAGAATATGTACATGTTTTTCTTAAATCGACAATGGTCAAATCTTATAGCAGTATTAAATAGCAAACGTTGCTTCTGAATGTTACCATTGATGTTCACAGCTCCGCCTACTGTAGCCTTGTTACCATAAAAAAAGCAGAAATAACATGCCACTCTATTACTAGCAGGGTGACTCACAACATCATAATATGGAATTTGAAGTGCCATTGCTCCACCAAATTGAGCTAAATTATTAATAAACTTACATCTGCGCAAATTCAATAGATAACCATCATTGCTGTAAATTGGTGCCGGTGGAAATGTAACACTAATTGCTCCTCCGCTATCCTTAACTTTGTTATTGGTGAATATGCAATTATAAACTTGAATTTGAAAGTGAATGAGGCTCAAAAAGGCTACATTAATGCCAGCACCAAAATTGAAAGCAGAATTGTTAGTAAACTTACAAGCATTAATATCAATTTTGACTTTGAGATGTTTTATACAATGCCCGTGATGAAATGCAATGCCTCCTCCATTTAATAATTTATAATTGAAAGCTTTAACCCTATGGTGATTGTAGATATTGCTTGAAAAGTTGCAATTTATTACACCAACATAGTCACTTGATTCATAAAACAATATCCCTAGGCCATTACTGTTAATTACTGCAACTTGATCTATCGTAACATTAGAGGAAAGTGAAAAATACATTGCCTGAAGACCTTTCAGTATATCGCAATAAGACCAGATTGAATAATAAAATCCACAACCGTCCATAGTAAATCCATAAAGAATAATGTTTGTAACATTTGCAAAAAATATCCCTCCTCTGCTACTGGCTTTACTGAGACATCTAATAGTAGTTCCCCATGTATTGAGACGTAAGTGATCAATACGAGTAAATGTGGCTACTCGTGACAAATTAAGAGATGAACTAGTAATTGTTATTGCGATATTACTAGAATCATTGAGACGTTCAGCTACATACTCCAAGGACTGACAGGGATGGGATCGGATATAAAAACAATGAACGGAATCAACTCCTTTCTCACCATTGATAAAAATATGAAGTGAGTCGAATGACAAAGCACTCTGGACAAGAAGAAATAGGATCAAAAACATGTTGACTACTGGACAAGTTGCGACTACACAAGCTTTTATGAGACAAAACAGTAAACTGTCAACAAAAGAGCCAATGGAATGATAAAACTGAAACAAAGGATCTTACAAACATGTTAACAGATATTATGACAAACATTGAAACTACACGTACTAATTATTGATCATAACAAAACAGTGAAAACACATCCAAAAATCACTTATATACATGTACATGTACACATAATATAATTTTATTAAAGCCATGACATGTTCATGTCTGCATAAAAGTATATGTACCAGAAAATCAAGATAAATAGGTAAGAAAAGTGGAGGCAGAGGTGCATCAAACATATAGTAAATAGAGTTATGTGGGCAGGCAAGCATGTACATGTAGCTACCCAAATGCAATCAAATGTAAGAGGCTTCTTAAGCTTATTGCATTCAAAGAATGTAAAATGTTAAGGAGCTAATTCCCTCCGTGTACATAAATTTTAAAAGTGTCCTACTGTATTTCTTGACCATAATACGTGTACATGTAATTGACGTGTGACGGACATGAACTTATACAAAGGCACAGGCAGACATGGCAACGATTTTAATGAAATTAGGCTCCCACTTAACCTAATTACAAATATTACATGTACATATGTATAGTGCATATAATGTCTGTACATGTACTGTGCAATAATCAATTAATACCTTTTAGTCTGTCCTTAACTGACACAAAGGTTCTAGAGACAAACTTAATTGAGCTCAAGTAATAGCTGTGAGTTGGTATCAATATCCAATAATGATAAGAGGTAGTGTAACTAATACCACTGATCCTTCACTGCAACAGACTAGGAGACTAACTGTAGCAGTCCCTTCTATAACCAATGGGAGAATCATCTTTAAAATACTAAATGTTTATATAGGAGATAGAGAGAGGGAGAGAAGGAGAGAAAGAGAAATATTGCAGCAGCAACATACACATGTACATGTATAAATTAAAAGTACACAGGGTTAATAAGGTAATCATTACACATGGAGATCTACATGTACATGTGTACATTTCATTGACTCACTTCAGTTGCTCATATTGTCCATTATTTTGGTACATGTATGATTAGAAATTGAATTGATGCTTTTAGAGCGTAGTTTGCTAGCATGAAAAAGAAACAAAAAATATATTAAGCTAAAAAGTAAAAAGTAATTAAGCTAAATGTTAGGGATAATGCAATACAGTAACAAGCTCATGTACTTACATGTACATTGTCACAATGGCCCAGCCATTCAGCTTTGTTTGATTAAAATTCTTCCACTCTTCTCTTCTCTTTCATTGTGTCCTTATTGACACGTGTCCATTGGATCCTGTACTAGCAGTGGAGGGAGTATTGGTAGTGGATGGATCAGGGCCAAGTATTTTCTCAAGGTATTGAGATGAAGGGGCAACACAACAAAATGTACTGACACAATAGCCTCCTCTTACTGTCCATACATGTACATGTACCAGTCAAATGTATCTTTGTATCTATGATGGTAAAAAATGACAAGCGTAAATGTATTATACATGTACATGTTCTGAAAGTACATGTAAAAGAAGGTGTACATGTGCATGTATCGAACATAAATACAAGTACATGTACTGTACATATACAATGAAAATACAATAAAAATGTAGAAGTCCCTTAATTCATAAAAATTGGCCAAAAACCATGTACATGTACACTGTATATTGGGAGTGATTCCAATCTTTCAGTAAAAGGATGCATATGTAGTACCCAAAATACATGTACCTGTATTGTGGCAAAAATGCTCATAGCTTTAAAAAAATAAAATGGAATCTACTCAAACTTTCTACATAGCATAAAAACATCCATGTGTGTTCAAAAATGTAATAAAAATTGGGGGTAATTTCGGGCCATTTTTTGAAAAAACCATGGGCAAAAAAAGGGAACAAAGCACTCCAAAAATGTATTGCAAATAAAGGATAGAATAAAACATGTAAAGTAGGGAAAACAAAGCAAGGTTAATAGAAAGGGTAGGGTAAAGTTAGAGACACAAAAAATGAAATAATAAACAGGAATTTAAAAAATGGCTGATTTTTAAAAAAGTCATAACTCAAAAAATTAAGCTAGAATCGGCTCAAACTTTCTACACAGCATAAGGACATCAATATGTACCAAAAAATGTAATAAAAATTGGGTTGATTTTAGAGTCATTTTAAAGGAAAAAACATGAAAAATGGCTGATTTCTGAAAAAAGTCACTACTCGAAAAAAAGTCGGAATTAGCTCAAACTTTTAACAGAGCATAAGGACACTAAAGCACTGCACTGAATACATATACATGTATGTGTACTAACTTTTCTAGAGTTTTTTTAAATCCAAAGAATGCTTCTCAGACCCCCAAGCCATCTCCCTCCTTATTAAATCCAACTACAAACCAAAACAGCATCTATTAAACTACACGTACATGTATAACTATACAGTAAAAAATTACATGCATAACTGTACAATTCTTAATAATAGTATACTGTACAATGTACATCTTGTCCCATTTATATCTCTCTCACTCACTTTATCTGCTAGTTGTTTCTGGAGTTGTCTATAGCTGAGGTCTCCTTTGACTCCATTAGCTGTTCTATGTAGTATCCATCTTCTTCTTAAATCATATAATGCTCTGTAAAACTTGTGATCAGTTTGACTGGATAATCTCTTGAGTGGCTCAGCTCCTTTTCTTAATATCTTGGAAGCTATATCAAGTGCCTACAGAAAAACTCATGATAATATCAAATGTACATGTACATACACAATGAGTTCACAATCATTCAATATCAATCTAATAGTGACAAAGCTTACAAAAAGAACTGCTGCTATTCATCTGTATTAAACACAATACAGGTAAAGAAATAGTACATTCGCACTATGGCCAATACTATGCCTTTATAATCTTCTATATTGAGGTACATGTATTGTGCATGCATAACTGAGTAAAGTAATATATCATGAGGCTAACCTTTTTAGTTTGGTATTGATATGAAGGAGGTAATATATTTCTTATTAACATAAACTGGATCCAGTGACAAGTATTGATGATGATTATGAACAATTTGTAACACATCAGACAGTACACTAACTTCAGTCAATGTTTGCCTGCAATAAAGACAAAACTAATAATAAAGTTTAACTACCCTTTATGTATGCAATACATTGATACATGATTTATGCTCTTGTTTATACAAATTCATGTATTTATGTACTTGAGTTTTGAGTGTGTGAATTCCCATGGCCAGCGATGACTTGGTTTCTTAGTTGTAGGACCAGAAACTCCCTCCTCCTCCTCCTCCTCTTGTTTCTTCTTTCTTTCTTCTCTGTCATTATCATCATCAGCTCTCTCTTCTCTAAAGTCAACATGTTGAGCTAATTCACTTAGCTTCTGAGAGAGAGGTCTCCTACAAATAAATACATATACATGTATGTACAGTGCCGAAAAATAACAATTCTAGTGTGCAATGTGTTATATATATAACTGCATCATTTGCATGTATGCCATAAGTATTTCTATGAAATTAAATTTATTTCACTTTAATTTAGAATTCTCAATTAAAACCTAAAAAGTCAAGAAAATAAGGAGATAACATCTTATGAATTACATTCTGTATTATTATAATAAATGACTATTACCCTTCATATGTCTCTTCTCCATCATAGTTGATCTCCTTGACTCTTGGTATGGAGTGATTCCACTGAGATTGGAGGCCATGTATGACTTGTAATCAAGTAACAACCCACTTTGAGGTGGGGTTAATGGTTGCTTCCGGATTCCTTAGTCCAGGCTTTTCCCTCGAATCTTTTCGAGAGTCTTTTTCACGTTCATTTTCACCTATTCTCTTGCTTTTTGACTAAGAACACTTCTTAAAAGTAACATACTTCAGTCAGTGGTATTGTGATGATTTGTTTTCTTTATAGGAAATGGCAGCAAACACAAGTCCAGCTATCACTATGACTTGTGAGGTTTGTTCAGAGTATTATACTGACCCCCTCATGCTTCCCTGTCTTCACTCATTCTGTAAGAAGTGTCTAATAAAAGCTAAAGAGAAGCAAGGCAGTGCTGATACCTCATTAAAGTGTCCAACGTGTGACACTTGCGTTAATTTACCTGACGGTAACATTGAAGGCCTCACTCAAAACCTTTGGCTAGCTCAGCAAGTGAAGGAAGAATCTGTTAAAAATACAATGAGCAAGAAAGAAAGCACATTATGTGAGCAATGTAGTGACGATACTGCTGTCACTTTTTGCTGTGAGTGTTGGCTGTTTCTATGCGATTTCTGCAAGACAGCGCACAAGAGAATAAAGACTACAAGTCAACACAAACTGGTTAACATAGGAAAGGAGAGCATCCCTCAATTAAGCACAGAATTGCCAACTATGAAGCATCAAGCCATTTATTGCATTCAACATTCAGAAAAGCTGACATACTACTGCAAGGATTGCGATAAATTAGTTTGCCAAATTTGTCTTAACATGCACCATAAAAATCATAACTACAATTATTACATAGATGAAGGTGAGGCAGCATGTAAAGCATTAAAGGAAAGCGTTGCTAGTTGTGATGGACTCATTCCTCCAGTCACTGAAGCTATTGCTGATGGAGAGAAGATGCTGGAGCAGATAGCAACACGTAAGGAAGAAGTAAGGCAAGAAATCAAGGAAACAATTGAAGAGCTTAAAGCTGCTTTAGATAAGAGATGCAATGATCTACTAATGGAGGCAGAAGAGATTGCTAGCGCTAAGAGGAATTCTGTCAAGAAGCAGTTGGACAGGTTTCGTAAACTGGTAAAACAGGTTTCTCATGGTCTTCATCTTGCATCATCAGTGAGTGAGCGTACTGATCCAGGTGAAGTTCTCAGTGTTAAGAAGCTAATCACCAATCAACTAGAGGAATGCATTGAAGAGTATAAGAAATTACCTCTAGAAATAGAAGAAAATGAAGCAATTGTGACAAATCTAGATACATCTACTTTAAATAAAAAAATCAGTGAGTATGGATACATTTTCAAACTTGAGCAGCTTGACCCATCACTTTATTCCATTGATAGTGGGTTAGCTATTCCATTGGCAACAGTAAAGAAAGAAAGGAAATTTAAAGTGGCTCTACCAGCAGGCATTGATAAAGCAGCAAGCTATTTGAAGGCTTCCTTTATCAAAAGTGATGGTAGTAAAGAGGAGGGAAGAGTTATAGTTAATGATAACAACACAGCCATTGTATCATGCACACCTCAAAGCATTGGAGGATATGAACTATCAGTGACTATAAGAGTTCAGTCAGGTCACCATATTAAAGGTAGTCCTTATCAACTGTCAGTAAAAGCATCAAGAGACTATACTACTCTAACTAACGAGAGATACTTTAATGTGGGGAATTATACTACTGGTGTTGCTGTTCATACTAATGGTGAAGTATTTGCTAGTAGTAGGGATGGGTTTGTTCAGGTATTTAGGAAGGATGGTATTGCAGTAAGAAGGATTGGATCTAGAGGTAATAGTAATGGACAGTTTGGATGTCCTTGGGGTTTATTACTAGTAGGAGACAGGCTCTATGTGTCTGATAATATTCTTCATCGTGTGCAATATTTCTCAGCTACTACTGGTCAGTATATTGGTCAGTTTGGTAGTTATGGTAATAGAAATGGACAATTCTCTAATCCGTGTGGTATGTCCACAGATGGTAAAGGTACTATATTAGTTGCTGATAACAGCAACAAAAGAGTACAAGTGTTTAAAGAAGATGGTACATTTGTACAAGTCATACAATGTGATTGTACTGCATGTGATGTAGCAGTTGATAATGAAGGAAAGATACATATTGCTACTCACAAGGACAATCATGTTCAAGTCTTCTCTCCTGATGGTAAAACTCATCTTCATACGTACAATAATCCTCATAGTGGCTCTGGTTATCTTCAAGGAATTGCTATTGATGATAATGGACATATCTTAGTATTGACTTACAATGGTAGTAATTCTTGTGTTTATGCATTGAGTCCTGATGGCAAAGAAGTTGAATTAATCTCAGGATTAAATAATCCATATGGTATAGCACTGGATAAGGATGGATGTATTTATGCTGCTAACAACAATCGTATAGTGAAAATATTGTAGTTATTCAATAATAAAAATACCTCTCCTTTCCCTTCTCTCTCTTGAACACACTATCTATCTCTCTGTCAACAAACTGACTATAATAGTTATAATAGTTACTAGAAAGAATATAAAACATTGAGGGGCTCCGCCTCCAGACCGCACCTCCCAGTCACGCCCAGACGTACGTTCAAGTTCTTGTAAGTAAGGGCTTCGCCCAATTAATTTTATAAATAAAAGTGCAAAATGTCATTACTATTATTATACTAGTATATATGCCAATAACTCCATAATACATGATACATAATTATGTTTTATACATCATAGTTAGATCACTAAGTAAATCAGTACCTGATAATAAACTGGGTCTACTCTCTCTTCCATTTCTATTTGTCTAATCACATAATTATGCCACTGCTAATGGCTGACATCTTGACACAATATTAACCAGTGTTGCTGGAACTCCTCCCATATCAACCTATTCAATGTATGTCATGTGGGGACTCAACCCACAACCACACCCACCTGTACAAGATACGTGACTTGTGTGAGTAGTTTTTCTTTACTCTTTATAGTGATAAGGTTCGATGACCACCCACTCATCATGACCTAGTAAAACTTTGTATATTCTAGTAATTTGGTTACATCTCTCTAACCTTTCTTAAATAGTTAATTATAGTTTCACATTATATAATACAAGTTCCTGATCACAAATGATTGTATAATCTAAACCAAATTAATACAAATACATTAATTATTATAGTACAGTATTATACCTGTGCAAACAGTTCTTCATTGAAGAGCATATTTTGAGCTGATTTAAGTATCTGTTCCCATGGAGTTAACATCAACTGTTGCTTATGAAGCTCAATGAAACAAGACGGCAACAAGAATCAAGATAAACAACCTCTGGAACAAACCACATGAACATGTACACATAGATGACATGTACAATGATACAATCATGTGATAGTCATGTGACATACCATTACCTTTAATAGGTCTGTCTGCCTACTTTACTCCTTCCTCTTAATTCTTGAGCTACTACTACTGACAGTATATCATTAGTACCTTCAATTCCTTTATGAACCTCAAACTGAACTGACTGAGCATACAGTGAACCAGCTGCAATTAATAATGATAGTAACGATTCATCAAAAATGACTAGGAGAGAATTCTTCATTTTTATAATTTTTTCTGATATCTACATATACATGTTCTTTTGTTGTGTAGCAACTTTGAGCTGATTCCAATAAAAATTAGTTTTTTTATTAATTTTTAACGTTACTCAAAATTTTCACCTATTCTCTTGCTTTTTGATTTTTTTATAGCTCCAGGCGTATACCCCCCTCATCATTTCCCATGCTTACATACACCCACTGCATCTACTCAATTAATAGTCTCATGTAGCTAGACCCATCCCCCTTTTCGATAATTGGACCATAGATACTATGGTGGTCACTATTTTACGGGACGGGACGGGACAGCACGGGACGTCCCATCCCGTCCCGTAGCCCTGCGTAGCCTAAAATCCGGGACCATAATTCGCAGGCATTATTATGATTATAATCATAGAAAACAGCAATAATAACTACCAGTATTAGATTCTTTGATATTAAACCGAAGTAAGAAACAACAAAAGCTATAAAATATGTGATTTCTTTTTAGTGTAATGAACTAAGCAATTTATGATCATAATTATTTTGAAATGGCATAGGAAAATAATAGATTTGGTTGAAATCCACGTTAATGATAAGCATAAAGATGTCCCAAGTGCTTCTTGCTTTGGCATTGCTCAGTTTTGACCTTTATTATTTTGAGGTATTGATTCACTGATATTCAGCCAGTAGTCCACATGCAATATGAAATTTGTCATACACTATAGATATTAATCAACTGCATGGTATTGCTAAATACAATTGTGTTTTTTATGAAGATGCGAAAAATTCTACTTTTCAGGGAAAACTTTGACTATACAGTGCAATGATAAACTTGATGATAACAATTAAGAGTCGATAATAATAATAATTAATGATCAACTTGATTATTGTAGAATAATGATTGCTTACATTTACAGTTTGTGTAAATTTCAGACACCATTGGGTTCAGTCTGAAATATAGTTACAGTTTAAAGGAAAAATTACAGGCATGTTGAGCTGGTTCCGCCGTTTTGCTCACTGCCTAAAGTCCATTTGCATTCACCTGAGCCCAGGAAGTGATTACAGACCCCACCCAATAATTAACACAATGCAATAATTGGGGCGAGCATAAGCTCGCCCCACTCAGGCGAAGTCTCCCTCCCTCCCTCCGTATGTATGTATGTATGTATGTATGTATGTACGTACGTCTCCAGTCACGCCTATTCTGGTCACGCCTATTCTGGTCACACCCCATGTGTGCACAATATCTATTTAAAAATCAATGATCTAATGCGGTAGCATTCTAATGAAATATTTTCATTGATGTGGGTGTGGTTGCAATGAAATTAAAATGGCACCTACCTTAGCCAATCTTACTTGCAGCAACATAGGACTGATCTCTTGTCAAGACACTTCATCAGCAGAGAAATTCAAGAAACACACATAAATCTTCAAGTTTTTATTAATTATGGTTGAATGACAGAATATAAAGCACTTCAAATGGCTCATCAGAGAAAAGAGAG